AAGTGTATTCATAAATGAATTACTGATAATGGGTAAACATTCAAAATATATAAAGAACTTACATGCCTCAACATACAAAAAACAACTATTACCTGATTAAAAAACGGGTGGAGGATCTGACCAAACACTTTTCCAAAGAAGAAATCTGGATGGCCAACAGGCACATGAAGAGATGCTCCACATTGCTAATCATTAGGGAAATGAAAATTAAAACCACGAGGTATCACCTCACACCAGTTAGAATGGCCAACATCCAGTCGACAAGAACAAACATCCAGACAAACATCCAGAAGACAAGAAACAACAAATGCTGGTGAGGATGCAGAGAAAGGCGAACCCTCCTACACGGCTGGTGGGAATGTAAATTAGTTCAACCCTTGCGGAAAGCAATATGGAGTTTCCTCAAAAAATTAAAGACAGAAATACCATTTTATCCAGTAATCCCACTCTTAGGAATTTACCCAAAGAAAACAAGACCCCTGATTAGAAAAGACATAGGCACCCCTATGTTTATCACAGCACTATTTACAATAGCCAAGATATGGAAGCAACCTAAGCATCCATTAGTAGATGAATGGATAAAGAAATGTGATACATATATACAATGGAGTATTCTTCAGCCATAAAAAGAGATCCCACCATTTGCAACAACATGGATGGAGCTAGAGGGTATTATGCTCAGTGAAATAAGCCAGACGGAGAAAGACAAGTACCAAATGACTTTACTCATTTGTGGAGTATAAAAGAAAGCAAAAATGAAGAAACAAAATAGCAGCAGACTCCCAGACTCCCAGAAGGGTCTAATGGTTACCAAAGGGGATGGGTTGGGGAGGGTGGGTAAGGATGGAGAAGGGGATTAAGGGGCACTACAATTCGCAATCACAATAAAGGTAGGTACACGGAAAAGTGTAGTACAGCACAGAGAAGACAAGTAATGACTCGACAGCATCTTACTATGCTGACAGACAGTGACTGCAATTGGGGGGTGATGACTTGATAATATGGGTGAATGTTGAAACCACAATGTTCATGTGAAACCTGAACATGTGTATCAATAATACTTTAATAAAAAAAAGAATTTAGCATGCAGAATTTGAAGAAATTTAGTTGCTCAGATATAGGAAGTACTTTTTTATAAAGTTTTAAATCTCATTTGTTTCTGTAATTTTAAATGAGAAACAGGTGACTGAAAACATGGATACTGTATCTATATGTCTGGCAGAGAAAAGGCAGAGTACCCTTGATGGGACAGACAAGTGTCCATGCTCTTTTAAAGAGGTCTAGGAGGTTAATAGGTTAATAGATTTGTAGGAAGAGATCCTATACAAAAAGATAGAGGTAATATATGATGTAACCAGTATACAATACTTGTAATTCTCAAACTTTAGTAGTTGGATAAACAACATCTTTTAAAATCCTCCAAAAAACACAATTTACAAAAGGAAAAAGAAAAGCAATTATTCCATTTGTGGGAGAACAACTTTAGCGCAAAGGTAATACCTAGAACACAGAAAGCAGTGGTTTCTCAAACTTTAGCACGTATCACAATAGCCTCAAACTCAAGATTGCTAAAATTTAAGATTACTGATTCAACCCCTGAGTTCTGCTTCTATATAGGATTTTTCATTTTTAACAAGTTCCTAGGTAATACAGATGGCTTCTGGAACAGTGAACACTCTTTTGAGAACCATTGCTCTAAAGCTCAAAATTTACAGTACCAGAAGAGAAATGCTGTCAATATTCTTATATACAGTTCCATAACTTAAATTTTAGAGTATGTAAGACATTACTTTGATGCTAGTGCATACAAAATTAAACTGTGCATCAAACTTTTATGTCTCAAAAGAAAAAACGGGTTGAATGACTGCATGCTATTGTACTGTATATTCCAGCCTTGCCCTGACTTACACTGAGGATCCACTTGTTTATAAATACGTAATTTATTTTTAAAAACAGATTTTTTTGGACAACAAAAAAGAGGAAAAAATATAAAAATAAGAAAACAAAAGAAATAAATTTTGACAAACTCACCAGAAATATTTAAAGTCCTCAGGTGCTCAAGGTGTTAAATGAAAGATGGCCAGCCCTTTCATCCAAAAGGTATTTACTGAAGCCTCCACAGGTGAGATAGCAAGTAAAGAAGGAAGGCAAACCCTGAGTCTAATGCTTGTTGTTAACCATCTGGGCTAGTCTTAAACAAACAGGAACATAAATGTCATGCAGACTTAGCTCCTACAAATAAAGCTAGAACTTTCCAAGGTGCTACAACCACCACACCTAATAACTTAATTTCTTTATGAATGCTATAGGGTCAAAGGGCAGGGGTGTGGCATATGGTGAGACAACATGGAATCTTAAATCAAGCTATCATGTTTAGAAGAACCACACAAAGTACCTTAATATTTCTGATGAATGTAAGGTTCTAGAATATAGAAATTCAAGAATGCTGCTCATGATTTCCACCTTAAAACACAATCAAACACAGATGAAAATTTTAAGTGAGGCTCTTCTTACCATAAGTAACATTACCATATACAGTCAAATAAAAAATAAGGAACAGATGAAATGCAAAACACTTGAACAAGTTCATTTGTTAGTTAACTCCTACCATGCATCAACCAAAGGAAAACACTATTACTTACAAGTTATGGACCAGTGGTGTTGATCATTAAATAGCTCAAACTTTGAAGTCCTTGAATGCTTAGAATTTACTATAGCCCCTAAGGGTGAAAAGCCTTTGCTAACAGATTTTAGCAAAGAGCATTACAGAACAGTGCTCATTTTATAAACATATCAAATCAACACTTCTTAAACCTTAAACTTACACAATGTTATATATTCAATTATATAAAAAAAACAGAAAAAAAATAGTGCTCACAGCTGTCATCATAAAGGTACTGTCATAACTTCCAAAAATATTAATATGTGGTCAACATGGTGAAAAAGTGTCCAATAACCATTAACACAGAATTTTGGATGTAAATTCCTTTTAAAGTTGGTTTTCAAAACCAGATAAAAGTAGAAAATATTAAGGAAGCTTTACATGTAGTAATGAACACCTTTTGAAAAATTAATTAAAGAAATGTAGACAATCTAACTGGTAATAATGGAGGTGGAATACATATACACACACACACACACACACACACACACACACACACACACACACACAAATATCAGAGGTATGTATATTTATGATGTACTGACATGAGGTTAAATGTCTCTTTTAAATGTCTCCTTGAGAAGTCATTAAAAGAAAATACACTTAGAAGATGAAGGAGTATCTAAAACAAAAACAAAAATTCTAGTCTTAGGCCCATGAAGATTCCCAGATATTGAGTTCATTACTATGAGGTCAGGAGGTAGTATACAGCAGGTCCCAAACCTATCTGGCCCAGAATTCATTCAGCCTAGATCCACATGTACTTTGGGAAACAGTGCGACTGACAATCACTTGCCAAGAAGCGTTTACAGTAACTAACTTTGTGCCCCAGTTTAAGGTGGGTGAACATGATGGAGCAGTCTTGAAAATTCTTCCTACCATGTGGGCCAGTTAGCTTTGGCCCAATTTGTTTTCTGGAGAAGGCTAAACTTTGAGAGGTATCATTTCATTTATAAACCATCCACACATAGATATATTGACAAAGAAGCCAAAAAGAATGTGTAATATATATGTATTTTTTAAAAAGACAAGATTTCTGACTCAGAATAAAAGCTCCCATGATAGACATTTTTGACACATACCTGTTTATAAAAAATTCAAAACTTTAAAACGATGCAACACTGTAACAGGATATACAATAAGAGACTGATGATGACTATTGTACCCTGGGTCTATTAAAGTGGAAATACTATTTATGTAGTACATTTCCTATAGGGAAAAGCCAGGAGGCAGTAGCATCCCACAATTTATCTTACTAGAAGGATCTGCAGCCATGCCTAAAATTCTCAAGCATACATACTTGAGAACAGACAGTAACTGTAAAGCATAACATTATGCTTCTCAAAGTTGGGTTCTAAGAAATTGGTGTGTTCAGTGGGTATCTGTCACTGTAGGCATTTCAAAAGTTTGACTTTTTAAATATGTGAGACTAAAATATACTCACATATACCTGAAAAAATAGAGTACTGCTTATTTGAACACCTCTTACAAAGAAATTGTGAATCTCAAGCTGTGTGGTTCCTCTGACATTATCTAATTCAAAAACTTCATTTCACAGATGAAACTGAGGCCCCCAAAAAGCTGTTTTGCCCTACTGCTATACAGTCATGGATTTTTTAAAATTAAATTCTATTATTTTATTTTCCTGTCTTCTGTCCATAACACTGCATTGTTAGTTGGCTGCTCCTTGTCCTGCCTCTTACCCTCCCCTCCCCTCGGTCCTACCACAGGCATTGTCTGTATGCAGTGCTTTCTCTCTCTCCTCCCCTCTTGCATCTTACTTTCCAGGTCCCATTTTCCTTTCATGCCCCTCTCCACTAATCACTCACCTTTTTTCTTCCTTCACATTAGCATTCTAAAACTTAAGTGTAATAAAATTCAATTCAATTAAAAAAATCACTGTGATTTACAAATGGTCCAATAATTTAAAATTTGAATTTTAAGATTAACTCTTATTATTTATTACTATTTTCACTACTTATTCTAATGCCAATATGATTCAGTCAAACATGTACTAATTTGAAGAAGCTTCTAATCATTATCAAGCAACAGATACTAGAACAAATCTTACTATTTGGGACATTGACTCTACTCATGTTTGAAACTGCGTTTCAGTTTCCATACAACCATACTGGGGATGACCAGGAAATCAAATTGTAAAAAAAAGTTATCTCAACAAAAACCAAGGTAAATTTTCTAAAACCGAGGTCTGCTGAACAGCTCTTTTCTTCACAATGTGACCTACTAAGGGATTTATTATCACACAACTGGAACTGCAAAACCTTCTTGGCCAACGTATGATTCAGTTAAATGAAGAAGGGAAAAAATAAAGTCTCACCCCCAATGGTACTCTCTTGAAATTCATGAAATTGGCCCTTCACAAAACGAAGTACTAGGCTTGATTTGCCAACAGCAGACTCTCCCAGAAGTACTAGTTTGAACTGGCATATTTTATTTCCAGCATTTGGCCCGTTGGGTCTTGTTGCTCCTCGATTAGCCATGTCCAAATTTGTGAAATAAGTCCCTAAGGAACTCAGTCCCGTAAATGAACTTCCAGGATGCAAGATGCCAATGTATTTCTTTCTGGAGGTAAAGAAACCTATGAAGAAACAAAATAAAGAATTAAATATATAAATCAGTAAAACAAAACTAATCTCTTATTTCTAATACCAGTCACTTTAGTAAATTTTGCCTGTAACATATTATTGTAGGACAATAATAACCTCTTTCAGCTTAATTCACTACTTTTGTAATGAAATAATGTAAAGGAATGAAATTTGAGCCAAAATTCCTGCTCTAATTTTCTGGGCTTGAAGTTTTTTTAAGCTAACCTTTATTAAAGAGTCATCTCTTTGTGCCAGGTAGTTCAAGTATGAACATTGCCATTCAAAGATCCTATAAAGTTAAGACTATTACAATCCTTCAAAATGAGGAAACAGGCACAGAGAGATTAAGTAACTTGACTGAGGTCACGGAGTTACTCTGACAAAGCTGCAGATAACTTTCAACCCAGGCAACCAGAGTTTTGACTCAAAGAGTTCAGGTTGTGGAGACAGACTACTGGAGATAAAATAGTTTTGAAGAAAATTAACAATTGGAAAGCTCTTAGAACAAATCCTAGAACATGTAAGAGCTCAATAAATGTTGACTATTATTATTTGAAGGCCTCTGTTAAATTGTACATGCTTTTTAATTAATGGTAATTTTGAAGCAACAAATAGTTCATGGCTCCCACTTTTGTGTGTCTAGTGGTTAAAAAAGACTTCAAACTATTTCCTCATGTGCTCAAGTACATCATAGATGGAAGTGTTAACTGCATCCCTATGTGGTGAGCTTATTAGTATTCATTTAAACTTTTCTGCAGTTTGGGGGCTAACAAGTAAATAAACATATTATCTTGTATTAACACATTTAGAAAAAACTACCTTGGATGGCTATTTCTATGTGTTATTGTCTAGTAACATTAATTTTCAATCTCAAAGGAATTTGCAAACATTTCAAGAATCCTTGTCCAGTGTACTCACAAGTCAATCATAATAGTTTTCTCCCATCTTTTATCAAAATGTGCTCATGTTCCCTGAGAATATTAAATCTGATGATTCCCTCCCTAAAATCACTGTTATACAATATAGGAAATTTGCCTTCGACATGAAATGAGTTTATATAAAGGTCCCTCCTGACAATGAATTCATTAATAAACATATCCATGAGGCCTTACATTTGAACAGTCATATCACCTCTGCCTTATCTAAACAGCAGCTTTGAGAAGTCCTTATCTTTTAGTAATACAAACTGAAGTAGTTACAAATGTAATGGTATGTCTGTGTGGCTTCCAAGCAATGGCGATGTAAATAAAACAAAACTGGCCATAAATGAAGCTAGGTGATGAGTTCATTATACCATTCCTCCCACTTCCATGTATTTTTAAAAAATTAATAAAAAATGCTCCAATTCCCACAAGTATCCTTCCACCCCCTTAAAAACATACCAGATTTGGGGACCTAATCCTGGCTGGCTATACCCATTTCTGCCAGAGCAAGGTCTTTCATTTCCAGTCTCTACTTTCAGAATATCTAACTTACATAGCTGCTGTGGGAATTAAATTAGAAAATGTATGTAAAAAATCTCTAGTACAGTGTCCAACATGTAACAGGGATTAAAAATTGGCAATGAAAGCAGATGCTTGGTGAAATAATGACCAAGTATGAACAGTCATGCAGACTTAAAATGCACCAGTACATCTCTAGATACTACATACAATACCAATTTATACACTTCCCAGTTGTCTGATTACCAACAAAGCAGCAATCTGAATTACTCATCAAGGACAATATACACCCAATTTCCATACTACCAAAATTACAGGGAAAACATCAGATTCCCATTTTTAAAAACTTACGACTTAGCTTGCCTTTTTAGGTTTAAAGGCTATTAGGATTATAGTTCCTCCCAAGGCTCTCCAACAGAAAACAAATTACACACAGCATAACATTAAGGTAAAAAATTATGTCCATTCATTTGTATTTACTGAAACTTGCCTTGATAAATAAATATTTTGCATAAAATGTATTTTTAATTTTTTGAAAATAACTGGCATTTTATAGTTAATGTTCTCCTGAATGTTCTTTGACCAAAATTGTACTAACAACTAACATTTACTGAGCACTTACTAGTGCCAAGCACTATTCAACGATTTTTTGCTTACAGCAACCCTACGAGCTCTAATATCATCCCCATTTTACACTTAAAGTTTCTCAGCTGTCCTGAATTATCACAGTGGTGTACAAGTGTTTTTTTCCTACCAGTTACATGAAAGGCAATGGTCCAACTCTGACTCCACATCTCCACATAAGCAAAGGACAAAAACTAATTGTTTGAATTATGACGTTCAGAGCTTAAAAAGTCTGAAAATCTTGAGGAGTGAGCAGCTTCCAGCGAAGAGAACAGCAGAGCATGTGTAATGGTCTCCACCAACTGAGAGAGTTCAGCGGCCTAGCTGTGCTGAGTTCCTGTAGCTGCTTCACCACCTTCCATAGATGAGACAAGAATCTCTAGACAGCCTATTTTGACAAGCCTCCTTCTCCTTCCATTACCCATCTTTGGTAGTCGAAGGCACGGAGCTCCCCAAATTCACACCTGCTGGGGGCCTGGTTCCTCCGCGGAGAGCACCTGGGTAACTGATACCAGACACCGGACCGCCTGGGGCCGGACCCGCCAGGCCTCGTAGCCATCTTTCCTGCCCTCCTCCCCTGAACCTGGCTCGGCTGTGGCCGGGAATCCCCCGAGGACTGCCAGCACAGGGCCAGGCGGAACCGCGGCCTCCAGCACTCTTTCACGGCGCCATCTTGAGAAGGGAAGAGGGTGACACCCGTCGCTCGCTCAGCCAGTCCCCAAATCGTCCCCAGAGCCCCCTGATGGATGAGTCAACAGCGCTGGCAGGACGAGGTGCCGGATCAGACAGCTCTCTGGGCTGGGGCGCCGGTGCACGAGAGGGAGAAGGCGCGAGCTAGGGACGGCGGATACCTGGGGTCCCGGCCCGCCCTGAGCAGCGGGGCACGGCTTGTTACCTGAGACCGCAGGGCGCGGAGCCGCGGGGCTGACGCTTCCCGGCAGCAGGTTCCAGACGCAGTCCGACAGGAGGCTGAAGCTGATGCTGTGGCAGCGCGTCTCCTCCGTGCGCCGCTCCACTCAGACTGGTCAGCGCGGGGCTTGCGCCGTGGTGCCGCCCCCGTCGGCCTCCGTCTCCGCCTCTCTCCGCTCCGCCTGTCTCTTTCTCCTCCTCCGCCGACGCCGGCGCTCCAGTTCCGACCAATTCTTCTTCCTCCTCCCTCCTCCGCCTCCTCCCCTTAGGCCGGCCGCCGACTGCTTCGCGAACCAAAACACTAACACTCAGGTCCCAGCGCGGGAGCCACTTCCGCCGCGCGGCGCCGGCCTCGCCGCCACGTCGCTGCACGTAGAGAACTACGCCCCTTCGTCACTTCCTATCGTCACCAGTTCGGCCGCTCCATCCCCTCCCCCTTCCCCCTTCAAAGCCCCCTCCGCCCCCCCAGCTGGGGCAGGTGTGTCACGTGCTCTCTGCGAGCAGGTGGGGCGCGTCCAGCCACCTCCGTCGCCCGGGGTGCGCGACCCCGCCCTCGCCGCCGCCATTGTTCTCCGGAGGCGGTGGTCTCGGCGCAGTGTCAGTGCGCTCGCGCGTCTCCTTCGCTCTTCGAGTTTCGGGGAAGCCGGCGAGAGCTTGGATTAGTTGCTCCCACCGTCGGTGAGGCGGCGAAGTGCCCTCTGTGAATATTAGCTCACAGTCCCCCTTAGCTTACCCTGCAACAGCCCATCCTTGGCAACTCTGTTACGGGGTTTTTGGGGGGACTCCCCTGGCACGAGAGAGACCCCAATGTGTCCCTGGGGATGGGTGGGTCTGTAAAGGCCGGTAAGTGGTATTTACCCCTGGGTGGAAGATAAGACCCTACTCACTCCAGAAGCTGTCCTTAAGGCGAGGAAAATCTTAATAATATGCTTTTATTGAGAGTATCTGTTTTGGGTGGGGAGGGGCAAATCTAAAAATTATATCTAGCTTTCATTCAGTTTGCCTCGCGAGTCACTCTACTGAGAGCTTTATAGGACTTGTGTTTTATTCTTAACTACGAGTTTTTCACTCTGAGACTAACTGCCTCGCCTTTCTCTATTAGAGTATTTCTAAGTCCCCAAAGTGGTCCTAGCCGCTGTGTCCAGATAGTGCCTGGCAGCCAGGAGTCTTCAGTCATGGTTGTGGAATTATTGAATGAGGCGTGCCTGTTCTACAGGTAAAGAATTTGAGGCACAGAGGTTGTGTAATTTGTCCAAAGTCACTTGGTGATGAAATGGTATTCTAACGTGCTGGCTGGCTCAGAAGCTGAGTTGGTAAGCAGGATTCCAGTGAGACAACCCCAGACTTTGACATCACTCTGCACTGCACACCTACAGAGGGCAGGCTGCTTTGGGTGAATCTCATGCAACAGGCAATCTCCTGGCCAGACAACTGAACCCAAAACAAAATTAAGTTTTGTACTTTGGTAGGAGGTTAAATTGATTTTTCCTCAGGATAAGGGCTACTTTGCAGATTGCCATTCATAGCCCTGTTGTGAGGACATCGATGTTGTCTGCATTGTTTAATCGGGGTAAAGTATCCTGTGGGTTGCTCAGTCAATGTGATGCAATGAAGGTAATTTGAGCCCTTCAACAACCAGTCTTGCGATCAACTCCCCCGTTACTAACCGGCAGAACTTAATGTGTCATGCGTTAATAATATATGTGGCACTTTATTTCCAAGGGGCTGTTCCAATATGATATGTTAGTCATGGTGATACCTCTTGGACAATCCCAGGAAGAATCAGGAAATAGGACGTGTCACATCAGTTTGGGATGTCAACAGTGTCCAAAACCATACCTAATCCACCCCAAACTTGCTTCTGCTTGGTGACTGGTATTAATAGCCTTCCAGTCATGTAGAGTCAAAAGGGCAGAATCATCTTGAACTCTTCCTTCTTTCCCTCATAAACCATTGTCCATTCTGTTAACCAAAATTCTCTAATCCCTGAATCTGTGGTGATATTCATGTAAACTGGAATTATGTACATTCTGGCCTTTTCTATCCATTCTTTACACTACTCAAAAATATCCGGCTGTGTCTCATTACTTACAAAAGTCCAAAGTTCTTTAACTCTAGTCCCAACCTACAATCCTTTCATTCTATTTCTATAGGCTCCCTCTCCCCCAGTCTCTTGCTTTGTGCCCTATTCATACCGATGTACTCTTTGCTCCCAGAATGTTGCGTGTTCGTTCTCATCTCGGTGTTTTTGGTCACTTCGTTCTCTCCACCTGAAACAACACTACTGCCCATCACTGCAGGTCTCACCTTGGCCAGGAGGCCAGGTCCTCTCTTTGGCATCTGAGGATACTTATACTGGATTTAGTTATCTTTTTCCTATGGGTTCATGATACTTTACTCCCTATAATGGTTCTATCTGCCTTATTTTACAGTTAAAGAGTTTCTAGACTTTTCTCTTCGGGCTTTCTTTCCCTTAAGGATTTTAACATTCTTAAATGCCAGGAATAATTTATTCATCATTTCAATTCCTCACAGAGGGCCTTTGATATAATAGGGACCCCAAAATATTTGTGAACATAATTACATTTAGAATCGTGGACATTTGACTTAAGAAGATCTCATAACACATGAATGCTGACATTTATGAATTGTTAGGAGCTTCCCATTCATCATTCTAGGATATTGCTTACTCATCTATTTCTTTCTACCAATTTTGTCTTTTAATTCACCTTCATGAATACCTTCCGCAATATTTTCTAGTTTAGTCATAATGTTTGCCTGGGAGAGTGCTGCTTTTCAGTGGCTAGCAATTCCAGGATCCAGTGGTACTTTGAGAGGCTAAAATGCCACAGGAGAGCTTTTCTCTTCTATTGCCAATCACAATATGCCTCTGTTTTTTCCGTAACCCCAGATGACTGAGAAGGACTGATAATTGTATATATTTTAGTGTCAAGTGTGGGATCCTACTCATCGACAGAGCTTATTAAGGAAGATACAAAATGAATGGGCCCTAAATAAAGTCATGAAGACTTGAACTCTGCCCTCAGTGCCTCATTTGCCCTCCAATCTCTAAAACCCTACTCATGAATTCCCAGCACCTTGAGTCTTATGATCACCCACAGCACCCCAAATTTACCTTCTCTTCCAGGAAATCTTTCTTCCATTGTGTGTTGAAGAATTAATCTTTGTATAGATGGTAATGAATGGCAACATTTACTTTTATCTGGGACTGTCTAGAGACACCAAAAAGTAATTCTAACATAAGGAATTGTAGGCATGATGACAAGGCAGTGAGAAAAAAACTATCTAGTCATGTTTAAAAAGCTTGTGTCTTTGCAGTGTATCATGCAAGCCTCAGTTCAAATGCCACCTACCTAAGCAACTTCTAAACTCACCAATTCGAAAGTAGCATCCCTCCATATCAATCTCTTTTTCACACTTACCACTCTGTGAAATGATGTTATTTATTGGTTTACTCGATGGTTATCTACCTCTACTAGAATATAAATTCCATGGGATAGGGGTTTGTTTATATTCCATTGTATTCCCAAGACTGACACAAAATAGGGACCCAATAGATACTTGTAAAAACAAAAGAATTGAATGAACCCTTATACAAACATAGATGCTAACAAGTCTTTTAGAGTGCTTAGGAGAATAATATTTATATTAAGCTATCTAGAAAATCAGTTTTTACAAATGTTAAATAGTGTCCCCTAATCACTTAAATTTTTTGGATTTTACAAGTTCTTTTTACAGAGTTCTTAGAAATACTGAAATCCTATAAATTTCATTCAAATTTTACACCCCCTGTATGTGTGGAATATAAAAAATCACCAAATACACTTTTAAACCTGACAGACTATGTATAACCCCAACTTAAAATCCCATACTTAAAATTAGTTTTGCCACAGTATCTTAAAAATTCAATATGCATTATTGTGTAACATCTCAAACTATAATATATTTAAATGCTATTTAAAACGTAATTAAAGTCTAAACGTTCTCACACTTTCAATGTTACTATACCACAACTACTAAATATAATTATAGTTCTTTAGTGATAAAAGAACTACATGCAGTGTGCAAGGAAGGACCTAAAATTAGTGGTTACCACCAGAAAGAGGGTCATTTTTTCCAAGACCACCTGTACAATTAATAGGCCAATGGCCAGGAGGAAGCCCATGGCTGAACCCATCCTAGGGGATTGCATTGCTTGGGAAACCGAAGAGAAGGTGTGCATTTGCTATAGTGTCCAAGACCACATCCTTCAAGTTTCCTTGCCCTCAGAGTCCAGTAAAGAAGGGGGAAGGAGAGATGGAGAACCAGAGAGGAGGAAAGAGAAAATGAGAGGGAAAACGCAGGAGATGTAGAGAGATCGGCGGGAACCTGCTCCTGATACGTTTGAGCGCCAAGCCACGCCCCAGTTCCCTAGGTAACCGGTAAACAGACCTCCGACTTCTGTGAACTCCGCTACGTGTTAATTGGTAGGCAGGAAGTGGTGGCTGGGAGGCCGAGCGGGGATGTGCTCCTTCTTGAGAATGGGGTCCCTCAAAGGGTTGGGGACTCCCAAGGGTTTGGAAACTTCCCTCCAGCCAGGTACAGCTTTTCCCTTAGAGATGAACGCCCTTGGAGGAAAGAGGGTGTCTGGGAGGAAATCTCCCTCTCGTGCGGAGGTCGGGCTCCCGCGGGAAGGAAAGGATGATTTAGGAGAGAGGAGTGTCTTCGTGGGAATAAAATCTCCGACGGAGTTGGGGCTCAGAAAGGGATTAGGAAAAGATTCTCCCAGGAGGGAGAGCCTGTCGGTTAATAATAAATATGAAGCGAGGATAGCATCATCACAAAGAAAATCTCCATTGAGTGAGGAGCTCGAACTGAGATTAAAAAGACAGAATATTTCGAGGACCCTCATGGAGAGGAGTAATTTGGGAGCCAACAGGGTCTTAACCTCACGGGAAACAAAACCTTCCCTGGGCATGCTGCCAGGAAGAGTCGGTTTAGAAACTGAATGTGTTCTGGCAGGGTGTTCTCCTGGGAGGATGACCCAGCCTCCTGTGAGCATGGTGTGTGAGAGGCCGCAGTCTCTTGGGAGAGGGAGAGGTCCTGTGGCTGGTGCCCCTGAAGGGTTGGGGACTTCAGAGTGGAAGCAGCCTGCCTTGGGTATGGAACCTAGACCAGAACTGGAAACACAGCCGACCTGTATGGTGATGGAGCCCAGTGCAGAAATGAAGCCTCGTGTGGAGGTGGACACTGGGCTGCTCCAACCAGAGGAGCTGGATGAAACCAGGACCACAGATCCCCAAACGGGCTTGGTGATAGAACCTCCTGAACACCAGGTTGCTCTACACCCTGAAAAGAAAAAAGAGGCTGAAGCAGGAGTAGAACCTCCAGATCGAATCAGACCCATATACTCTGGGAAATTTTTGGATCGGACGCCTGACTGGCCAAGTGTAAGTTCTTTTCTAGTACTTTCCCTAGAAACTATGTATAGCCTTGTCTTTATGAAGATGATAAATTGAGAGACTTGTTTGGATTTGTAGAGTCAAACTGCAAGATTTCATTGGGATTCTGATATTCCTTATCCCAGCGGACTCCTTCCACCTGTTACTGTTCAATCTCCAATTCACTGCTTGTGTAAATACCAGCTTTTTCTGTGGTTCCTCTTGATTTCACCCTCCTTTCTCCTTTGATCTTCATTTCATTCCTCAATCTGTATTTTATCAAACCTCACTGAGGTGTGCTTTGTATCCTAATATTCATGTAATGACTAGAAAAAGAAATATGTTTCTTTTCTCCTTAAATTATTTATTGGGTGAATTAATTCATTCTTTCAGCAAGGACTTGTGGTCGCCATTAGGCTGGGTACAAGGCAATAGAAAACAAAAAGCTCATATCCCTACCCTCTAGGTATAGGCCTGCACACCAGTGTTGGAGACAGATCATGAAACAAATACTATGTGGATGTATAAATGAATAGAAAGTAAGTGTGATTCTCCCTTAGTAGAAGTACACTCTAAGCACAGAGCTCAGTGGAAAGATTGGACAACTCTGTTTGGAAGGGATGGGAAAGGCTTTACAAAGCAAGTAATATTTGAGCTAATTTTGAAGGGTGACTGTATTTGTCACATGGAAGTGTTACAGCATCTTGGGCAAAGGAAGGCATAGAGTATGATCAAAGCATCTTGTTTTTGGAAGATATAAACAATTCTGTTTAGTCAGCATAGTTTTAAGAGATGAAGATGAAGAAGAAATATATGGGAGAATCTAAAGTTCCAGGGGTAAAACATGAATATAGAAGCAATGGTGGATCTTAATCTTAATGATGGAATAAATAAATAAAATTTTCCTTTTAAAGAGATAATACTCTCTCTATCAGTAGTAATGGTGGATTGGAAGGGGGAGTATTGGGTGACAGGAAAAAATTAGAAGGCTATTTTTCCAGAGTAATGATGGTCTGAAGTTAATGTAGAGTTAGGATAGAGAGGAGAGTACAATTTTGAGAACTTTTTAAGAGATGATATTGTTAAAATTGCCATCCAGTTGTAGATCTATGTGTTGAAAAAGGGAAGGTGATGGATGAATTAGGAATTTCTGGGTTGGTAATGATCTCTTCCAGTTTGGTGGCAAATAAGTATCTGGTATTGGACCTACTGAATTTGAGACATCTAAAGGATATAAAATGAAAAAGTTGAGTTAACTATAGGACATCAAATGCAGAAGTCTGTAATGTGAGACAGTTGAAGCCGTGGGTGGGGATGGGAGAAGATCTAGGCAAGACCTTGGGAAGCACATGTATGAAGATGGTTAGAGAAAGAAATGTCAGCTAGGTGAGTTCTTGAGGACAAGGACTTTATCATATTTATCATATAACTCCATGGTATATCACAATGCCAGGCATACAGTGGTCACACAGTAAGTATATGTTTGATAAATGAAAGGCTGGATGACTATATAGTAGAAAGAATGGAGAAGAAAGAGGTGAGTCTGAAATGGTGGTAGTGAGGAACATAAAGGAAGAATCCTTAAGATATTCTTAGAATAAGAGATTCTATACACTGAGATTTGATAATACAATTCAGCTGAAGTGGTCATAGGGAGTCTGCAGAATTTTTTCTGCCATCTGCCGACATTGTTCCCCTTTGCACTCAGGCTGTTCTTTGGTCTTTGACCCACTTTGCTTTCTGGTTCCCATATTTGATTTCCCCAGCCACTCTTTCCGTTTGACCATGGCTGCTTCTCCTTTCTGCATTGACTCTGCAGTCTGTGGCCTCAGACCTGATCTCACACACAGGCATACCACCAACCAGCTTTTGGTGTCCAACACAGGCAATTTAAAACCTCTGCTTCCTCCTCCTACTCAGACCCTCCTTTCTTAAGTGTGATAGGATGGGGAAGAGAGTTTCAAGGAGAAAGTGACTTAGCAGTGTTATCTCTGATAGAGTAAATTGAATAAAGATTAGCTTTGGATATTAAGGAAATGAGCAACATTGTTAGAATGGCATAATGGAGGGAGAACTCAGATTTCAATATACTGAAAAATGAATGGGAAAATAGAGAACATTATTGTGGATTTTCTTTTTCCTTAAGAAGTGCAACAGTGAAGAGAAGGGAGTAGATTCCATTTAGTAATCTTTTTTTTTTTTTGAGAGGGCATCTCTCATATTTATTGATCAAATGGTTATTAACAACAATAAAATTCTGTATAGGGGACTCAATACACAATCATTAATCAACCCCAAGCCTAATTCTCAACAGTCTCCAATCTTCTGAAGCATAACAAACAAGTTCTTACATGGTGAACAAATTCTTACATAGTGAATAAGTTCTTACATGGTGAACAGTACAAGGGCAGTCATCACAGAAACTTTCGGTTTTGATCATGCATTATGAACTATAAACAATCAGGTCATTTGATTTTTATACTTGATTTATATGTGAATCCCACATTTCTCCCTTATTATTATTATTATTATTTTTAATAAAATGCTGAAGTGGTAGGTAGGTGCAAGATAAAGGTGGAAAACATAGTTTAGTGCTGTAAGAGGGCATTTAGTAATCTTTTTATTTATTTAGTGAATCAGTAGAGGAGTTTGAGATAGCACTAAGTAGATGATGGTTGGAACCATATCCTAGATAAACAAGAGGGAATAGAACTAGGATCCTAGGCCAGAGGAGAGATTAGCCTTGATTACAAACAAGGCTCCTCTTGAAATAATTTTTAAATACTGAAATACCTATTTTCACTATAAAACAAAAATAACATTATACAAAATTTAGAAAACAAGAATGAAAACACCCATTATCTTACCACCCTAATACAACACCAACTAGCATTTTGTGGCATTCATGTTAATGAACATCTTTTGACAGCTTGCTGTATCACCATCACTACTCCTGGAGCTTTGCAGGTGGTAATTCATTTTCTCTCAAAACAACCCCAGGAGGCATCTACTTTTACTAAATTCCATTTTATAGGTGAGGAAACTGAGGTAAATTGGGTAATTTGGCCAAGGTCATAATGCTACACAGTGGTACCTCCAGGATTTAAAGTCACAACTTCTGACTCAAGAGCCTGAGTTCTTGGCTCTGCTACACTTTCTGTGACACTTTCCTGCATTCATATTTTGTACAGTTGTTATATCAGGCATAAGAACCATTTGTCTTCATTTTTCATTTATCATTTAATAAATATTTCAGTGATATTACAGCAACCTGAAGAAATGTTTTAATGATAAACAAAAATACTGCTTTAAGCCAACATGTGATTCTTTAGCTAACTCATTCCTTCTCTTGTTAGACATTAGATTTTGCTCAAATCTTTCTATAAAAATAGTCTATGAACATATTTATGCATATGCCTTTTTATATGTCATAGATTATTTCCTTAGGACAGTTTCAGCAGAAGCTAAAAGATGGATATTTTTCTAGTTCCTGTTGCCAATTCCTTCCTAAATGATTGTACCACTAAATTTCAGAAAGTAAATAATGATTTGTAAGGCATTGCTTTATTTCACATTATTTGATTTATAATGGGATTGAAAATTGTTCCATATGTTTGTTTCCATTGTTTTTCTTTTTTTTATTAAAGCATAATTGATAAACAATCTTTTCTTAAAATTTTTATTAAGGTATTAATATACACTCTTACGAAGGTTTCACATGAGAAAACAATGTGGTTACTACATTTACCCATATTATCAAGTCCCCACCCATATCCCAATGCAATCACAGTTCATTAGTGTAGTAAGATGCCACAGATTCACTATTTGCCTTCTCTGTGCTTCACTGTTTTCCCCGTGACTCCCACACCATGTATACTAAGCATAATATCCCTCAATCCCCTTCTCCCTCCCTCCCTACCTTCCCTCCCACATCCCACCCCTTTGGTAAACAATGGTCCTTTCTTGGAGTCTCCGAGTTTTGTTCCTGCTGCTATTTTGTTCCTTCAGTTTTGCTTCATTGTTATACTCCACAAATGAGGGAAATCATTTGGCACTTGTCTTTCTCCACCAGGCTTATGTCACTGAGAATAATATCCTCCAGCTCCATCCATGTTGTTGCAAATAGTAGGATTTGTTTCTTTCTTATGGCTGAATAGTATTCCATTGTATATATGTACCACCTCTTCTCTATCCATTCATCTACTGATGGACACTTAGGTTGCTTCCATATCTTGGCTATTGTAATTAGTGCTGTGATAAACATAGGGGTGCATATGTGTCGCGCGCCCCGTCCTCGCCGGCAAGAACAGCACGCAACAACAGCAGGATTCTTCTGCAGAAAGCTTTATTCTTCAGCTCTTTGTGAAACAAATGAGTTGGGCAGGACCCAGAGGGGAAGGAGAGGCTTGCTTATATAGTTCTCATGCTCTGACCTGGTTGGTGCGGCTCCATATGCCTTATTAGCATAACCATTTGGTGGGTCTCATTGGTCCTTATGCCAAGGCGCAATTAGCATGTAGTTTAGTGGTGTGGGATGATTTGTCATTAGGAAGTTCGGGGCCTTCCGGCTGCCCTGCATGGGGCGCTATTTTCTGAGCATGGCTGCCAACACATATGTGTTTTTGAATCTGAGAAGTTGTATTCTTTGGTAAATTCCAAGGAGTGGTATTCCTGGGTCAAATGGTATTTTTTATTGTTATTTTTATGAGGAACCTCCATATTGCTTTCCACAATGGTTAAATGAGCTTACATTCCCACCAGCAGTGTAGGAGGGTTCTCCTTTCTCCACATTCTTGCCAGCATTTGTTGTTCTTAGTCTTTTTGATGCTGGCCATCCTTACTGGTGTGAGGTGATATCTCATTGTGGTTTTAATTTGCATTTCCCTGATGATTAGTGATGGGGAGCATCGTTTCATGTGTCTGTTGGCCATCTGAATTTCTTCTTTGGAGAACTGTCTCTTCATATCAATTGGATTAATTGCTTTTTGGGTGTTGAGGTGTGTGAGTTC